TTGGAAGCACTGTCTGGCGCGTCTGCCTCCGCGACCCGAAAGGAGAAGCGGCGATGGAAGATGAAGATGCCAAAAATTTAGACACAGAATATCCACAGTTTGGTGCCATTGCCAACATCTATGTCCTTTCAGAGTACGAATTGCTTGTTTCTCGTTTATAATGCCTACGCTCAGATCCCCTTTAACTCTGTTTATCACTGATTCTCTGGCATCCAATGTAATTCCAAACTACAGGCGTTCTTGTTCTCATTCCACAACCATCGTATCAATGGTCAGACAGTCTTTGGTCTGGGTTCTACCAATTTCCAACCCCTTTATCGTCTGGCAGCTAATCGAGAGACCCAGATCAGAACTATTTGTTTTGGAGTTAGGAATAATGATGTCACAGTTTCGAAACTGTCAACAAGCAATACGATATCATCCGCAAATGCAACAAAGTGTACGCAGATGTTGCCCAGACTTGCTGCCATGGCTTGTTCTCCTTCGTATTGGCCGGAGCATCTAGTTGAGACAAATTGCAAAGGGCAGGGAGATTCCTAGAGATTCTATTCCTCCTTGGACTCCAAAATTATTTACGAAAGAGTCTAAAAATGAATTAGCTGAATCTTCAATAATTTCGCCCTGCACCTAATGTATACACATATCTTCTTAATTATGCGAATAAATTTTAGTGCAAATTCTGTATTGCTCACCCACTTTCTACAACTATCTCCAGATTGAGTAACACGCTTTGGTGAAATGGGCGAATACTGAAAATAATTTTAATGCCAATTCTCTGTTTGCTATTAGCTGCCTCACCATAAATATTTGGTCCAAACAACCTCTGCTCACCCTGAATTTCAACTACTCTTCAACCAAGATCTTCTAAAGAAGTTGCCTCATACGATCCGCCATAATGCGAATGAACCCTTAAAGACGAACGGAGGGTAGGCTGATTCCATGGTTATTACATGTATTTGTGCAACACCCTTTCGAATTTTGGACGAGAGCGAATCCCTCGTCCAGTTATTCCGTATCTCTCGTTTTCTGCCATACTAATCTAAAGAGATTCACTAATGCCATCATTTCGTTCATTCCAAATTCTTCAATTAATCCCAATTGCATTTCATCAATTCATGCAGCTCTGTCATTTCTATGCTAGCTTAAGGGTTTCTTCATTTCTTCAGAGGTAGGCGGTTGAGCATCAGCATCAGTCTTTTTGTAGGTATAATGTCATACAGTAAATCTAGCCTCACAGTCATATCAGGGTTTAGTAGCAATGCAAAGTTTTTTCACCATGTCTCAATGTTATGCGTAGGATTAGACTGATCTTACCATCCTATTTCATAAAGGATGTTTGTGTAGGCTTTTCTTGTATAAGTATGGACGTACCCAAACAATATTTTCATATCGTTTTTCCTAGTGGTATATTCCATTATTTCAACATACACCTTTCAGGAAGTACTTTATCTTCATTTTATTTATTCATCGCGATTATTTAGTCTCTTTCTATACTTTTCTTCCTTACCTTTTTCTATTATCATTGTTTAAAAGTTTGATCTTTTCTTGCTACCAGCTGTATCCCTAACTTATCCCCAAATGGGTTCAGTTTTTTCGTCTTTGATATCATTGTTCCTTTGTATATTTTCGAAGCTTTCCCCGATATATCGCCTGTATAATCAAACAGAAGACTGAATCTTCCACTGACCCTGAGTCGATATGGTTGAGATGCTTCAGGACATTTAAACTGGTGATATCTAATTTGGAGGTTTGGAGTCGAATTTCCAGACGGCAACAAGGTATTCCGACAGACCACCCGCTTCCAAAAGAATGAAAAGAAGGGTAGTATTAAAACCTTGAAGCATAAGTCCATGCACACTGTTATCGAATAAGAGGACAGACTTTGGCGATGGCAAGAGGATTTTGAAAAATTTCATAATACCCGAGCATCCAAGGAAGACTCGCCTGAAGAGCAGCTGGAAACGGATATTCTTCTTTCAGTAAACAAAGTAAAATGCTTGAAGAGTAGTAAGGCTGTTTGAAACCACTAAATCAGCCATGAGATGAATTAAGTTTTATGAACAGTGAACGTGCGAGTTCTGCCAACACCTGCCTGTAAAACC